CGAGGGGGGCACGCGCCCCCCCACTTTTTGGCCCAGGGGGGCCAAGTGCAGTTCGTTAGTTACTACACACAGGTTCATCCACTAGCACGTCACTACAGCGGCAACAGGATTCAGTCCCAGACCTTTTGATCCCTTGTACATGCTATACCGGGTATTGAGATGGCCTTATGACATATTTTGATAAGATACACCAGCCGAGACACTTAGCCAGTACTGTGGCTTGGAACCAAGCACCCATATACACATGCATGGCATTTGTTGTATGCTGTACCACCATGAGAGGACAAGGAGGGTTAAGTACCATAGCTCAGTGCCGATTTGTTACATTTAGAGACTAGCATCACCGACTTTAATAAAAGAATGCCTTGGGGTTGACAATGAAACTGTATTGTGTCAGTCCAATCAAATTATTAAATTAATTTTTCTATACCGTGTGAGGGGGACACCCCCTCCCACACCCACCCCCTCTCGGGCGCTTACGCGTCCTCGAATTGAATTCACTCGCAGAAGTGCGCCCCCCCACTTTCAAACTCGCTCCAAAGCCTATGTATATATATATAAATGCCTGCACTCTGACTGCAGACTCGAGCCCGAGAAAACGACATATCGCTTTGAGAAGTCAAACGCAGGCGTCGTGGGGGAAGTCACCGCCGTGGCACAAGTGGTAACGCGCCGAACCGCGGTTGATTAGGAAGGGCATTCAATCAGGCAAGGGTGACACCGCCATATAACCTCTCAATACTGAACTGAGAGAGGCCTATGTCCTGCAGTGGAATGAATGGCTGTTGAAAAAAAAAAAAAAAAAAAAAAAAAAAAAAAAAAAAAAAAATATATATATATATATATATATATATATATATATATATATATATATATATATATATATATATATAGTCTGTGTATGTATATGTATACATACATAGAATTTCGTTATAAGTGCAATCTCATTATTTTATTGTCCATTTCGAGGTTTCCTTTGCTTTTCAGACATCCGGTCGGCAATGCAAGGTTTCCATTACTCAATTTGTTTGTATCTTTATGATTGAAAATTATTCATAAGCAATCTGTCAATGCGATTGGACTGTAGGAGATGGCGGATCTGGGATTTCCCCTCCTTTCAATATGGGAATGATATAGGCGATGTGTCATGAGTTCGGAAAGTCTGGCTTTTCCAAATTTCATTGTACACTTCTGTCAACTTAATTGTAACATCATGACTAAGATGATTTGTCATCTCACATCGAATCACATCGGGTCCTGGGGACGTTCCTCTACAGGCTTCTAGGGCTCGGACAAGCGCATCCACTTTTAGTTATTGGTTGTAATTTACGTCATCTCCTGTGACAAAATGTATAGGCTGCAGCTCAAACGCATTATGGTAATTTTCGGGGTAGTTTGTGTATGACAACTGCCTGACGAGTGCATTAGCATTGTCTCTAGAGGAATGAAAGTTATTTCGCTCATGTTCTTAATTTTATAAGATTTTTACTTTTTTTTATTCTATTCATAATGGACCAAACCTGCGTTATCGAGGTAGAGACATGTCCGCCAAGAGACTTCTTTGGCTTTTCTAATTGACCTGTGAGCTCTCGTTCTCGCTTGTTTGTAATTGCAAACGTTCTCATTATTGATGTTATTTTTGAAAAGCGTTCACACAGCGCCCTTTGTCAATCTGGTGTCCATCATAGACCTCTATGGCCAACGCTGTCTTTAAAATACAATTCTGAATATTGTTTACTCTATTTTCAAGCCAAGTGGCTGTTCTTGTCAAAGAGACCAGAGACATGTCGAGAATATTCAAATTACCGGTATTATCGTCCACGCGTCGGACTACCATCGTTCAGAAAGACCAAATCAGGATCATTAACTAAATTACTTGTTCTCCTCAACCATCCATCCTCAGGGAACCTCATTCTTTGCGATGAGCACTGAAATCACCTGGTATTCATTTATTTTTGGCAAACTACCCTGGCGAACCAAAAAGTAGGTGGTCTGTTTCGAAAAGTCCTAGCAGGAGCCGCCTTCAGGGAAGATGTGGTATGGATTGTGCTTTGGTATCCTCCTTGTGATGCTGTTTTTGCTAGGTGGATTCAGCAATTTCCTCAGTTATATTATTCAGTTCTTTAATTTGACTCATTAATTCCTTAGCCGTTGTCTTTAATCCTGTAATTTCTTTGTCCTTAGCCGCTAGGTCCTGATATTGCTTGCACTGGGAGTGTTGGTTAGGGTTGCTGGTCAAGCCTTCAACTGACTAATATCATGCCCTCTTATGTACGATAATGTTTCAGCCTCCTTCTTCAAAATGCTGCATTCAACAAAACCAAACTAATTAGCACATTTGAAAATATTCTTAGTACACTCAGTAGGATCATTAACTCTAGCACATGTACAAGTAAGATTGTTTGTATCTGTATCGTTGCATCGCAGTGAGGTGTGGCCAGATTTTAGGCATCTATTTTTGGCGCAGCGCTGTGCTTCGCTGGCGTTGAAACACCTGCCT